CTCAGATGTAATCGTCCTAGACTGTAACAGCTTACCAGTTCTGCTTCCATTCTTGTGATTTTACCACCTATTTTCAGTACAGCATATTTTATCACTCTGATGCTTTCTTCTTTAATGGCTTCCTAAGGCAATTAGAAAAAAAATCCAAATAAACTCCTTACCCTGGCTTACGAGCTTGAGAGAATTCTGTCTTCTACCTCACCTCTTACCACTTTGCCACTCCTTGACTCACTCCATCCAACCTCTTCCAGTTACCCTCCAAGCTATTCCAGTTTTACAGACTGCATTAGCTAGTCCTTTTGGTGGTGTGTCCCTGCATTAAATGTCAACTCTAGAATGGGTGACTGGGGAACACCTGCCTCAAGTTGCCACTGAGAGGCTTTGTATTATCTTAATGTTCTACATCACATTTACAACTACTTCTCCATTATCAAGTAACTACTCTCTGGGAGACCAATGGCCTATTCATTCATGTATCCTTAACATCAATAATAGGTCCTAGTGCACTGAGGTGCTTAATAAACATTGTTCAGGCTGGGCACGGTGGCTCACGCCTGTAATCCCAACACTTTGAGAGGCCGAGGTGGGCGGATCACCTGAGGTCGGGAGTTTGAGACCAGGCTGACCAACATGAGAAACCCCATCTCCACTAAAAATACAAAATTAGCCGGGCGTGGTGGTGCATGCCTGTAATCTCAGCTACTCAGGAGGCTGAGGCAGGAGAATCACTTGAATCCAGGAGGTGGAGGGTGCAGTGAGCCGAGACCGCGCCATTGCACTCCAGCCTGGGCAACAAAGAGCGAAACTCCGTCTCAAAAAAATAAATAAAAAATAAAGAGTAAACACTGTTCAATGGTTGGTCTTCACTAAAACAATGAACTATATAAAACAGAAATATCTGAAGAAAAAAATACATACGCCAAGTCATTCATAGGAACCATGTATGGGCTGCATTATGAGAGCTCATTATTTTGGATCATCTGTATTTTCCATACTGTGCACAGCATGTATTTGTTTTTAATTGTGGTAAAATACACATATTTCATGTATTATTTTCAAAATAAAAAGGGCATAAGTCAAGGGAGCCAAACACAATGTACGAAGTAAGAAACACTCCTAGCTAGACTGATCTTTTCAAGTCTTACATCAAAATCCCATAAAGCATTTCTCTAGCACTCCTGTCCCTCCTTTAAAGATTTTTTTCCCCCTCTTGTGTTCCTATCCTTCACATTTTATTTCTCCAATTATTCAAGTGAGGAACTTGAGATTCTTTGATACTACCCTTTTTCTCACGAAGACCTGGGCATATTACCTTCAAATATTCCAAATGCATCAACTTTAGATTTCTAGCACTGCCACTCTAGTCTAAGCTATAATAGCTCTTGACTGAAATATTGCAAAATCCCTTTACCTGGTTTACTCCAATACATCATTATCGAACTCCTTCAATTTGTTTACTCTGTAGCAAGAGACATTTCAAAATAGAAATCCTGTCACTAATTACCTTCCCCCTGCACCTACCTACCTGCCAAAAATCACCAACTTCCCCATTGCAGTTGGTAGGGATAAAGACCAACCTCTGTTAGGCCAACTAGACTCTTTACTGTCTGACTCCTAGCTATTCTTCTAAATAGGCACCTACTCAATTTCCCCATAGGGCTTCTTCAGGGGCCTTTTTAACTTAAGAGTGGGAATCTTATTTAATCATTTCTTTTTTCTTTTTTTTCCTTTTTTGAGATGGAGTGTCACTCTTGTTGCCCAGGCTGGAGTGCAACGGCGCAATCTCGGCTCACTGCAACCTCCGCCTCCCAGGTTCAAGCAATTCTTCTGCCTCAGCCTCCCAAGTACCTGGGATTACAGGCATGCGCCACCATGCCTGGTTAATTTTTTGTATTCTTAGTAGAGACAGGGTTTCACGATGTTGGTCAGGATGGTCTCAAACTCCTGACCTCAGGTGATCTGCCCACCTCGGCCTCCCGGAGTGCTGGGATTACAGGAGTGAGCCACCGCACCCGGCCTAATCATTTCTTAGTAGTACCTAGAACAGTGCTTAGTATTTTGAAGTTCAATGGCTAATGAATGAACTGAGCCAGTGGAAGTTAGAATAACATGAACAAGTCTTGTGGCAGGGAAAATGGACAATAAAGGAGGAGAGAGACAAAGTATTGAATGGAAAAGATGAGACTTCAAACATTTCTAGGCTGATTAAATCAGAAAAAGAGATGTTCATCATCACAGAGCCAGGTATTCACAGGTTAAGTTGCATAGGGAAAAAAAAATACATTGTTTTGGACTTACCAATTTTGAATTATCAAAAGGGAACTAGCCAAAAGGATATTTAAAAAGACATGTTTAGAATGCAGGGTAGGTAGACAGCAGAAATGCAATTGAGTCAATAACAGCTAACGCTGGCCAGGGGCGGTGGCTCACGCCTATAATCCCAGCACTTTGGGAGGCCGAGGTGGGTGGATCACCTGAGGTCAGGAGTTCAAGACCAGCCTGGCGAACATGGTGAAACCCTGTCTCTACTAAAAATACAAAAATTAGCAGGGCGTGGTGGCAGGCACCTGTAATCTCAGCCACTTGGGAGGCTGTGGCAGGAGAATTGCTGGAATCTGGGAGGCAGAGGTTGCAGTGAGCCAAGATTGCGCTATTGCACTCCAGCCTAGGGCAACAACAACAAGACTCCATCTCAAAAAAACAAAACACAAAAAAACAGCTAACACCAGTGACATTTTAAGTGCTTTACATGTTAACTCCGTGAGTTCTCACAATCACCCATCCCATTTCACAAATGAGGAGACAGGCACAGAAAAACGCTTACCATTGAATGGTGGAGCTGCCATCCAAGCCCAGGCTGTCTCCAAAGTTCTGCTCTTGATCATCATATAGTATATGGAATTTACTGAGTAGATAATATATGGAAGCCAATGTAGTGCCTGGCCTAAATAAAACAACTCAGAGAAATTTTGTGGGGAAAATAGACAAGGGACAGAAGAAACTAGTAGGGTATGGTGACAATAGAAAAACAGGAGCAGTGAGGCCGGGCATGGTGGCTCACGCCTATAATCCCAGCACTTTGGGAGGCCCAGGCGGGTGGATCATGTGAGGTTTGGAGTTCGAGATCAGCCTGGTCAACATGGTGAAACCCCATCTCCACTAAAAATACTAAATTAGCTGGGTGTAGTAGCAGGCGCCTGTAATCCCAGCCACTCGGGAGGTTGGGGCAGGAGAATCACTTGAACCCGGGAGGCGGAGGTTGTGCTGAGCCGAAAGCAAGTCACTGCACTCCAGCCTGGGCAATAAGAGTGAGACTCTGTCTCAACAACGACAGCAACAAAAAACAGGAGCAGTTACAGGAATATTAGTGTCACAAAAGTGAATGCATTTCAAGGAGGCAACCAGCTTTATCAAACTTTTAGAGGTCAGCTGGGTGCGGTGGCTCATGCCCCATAATCCCAGCACTTTGGGAGGCTGAGGGGCGCGGATCACGAGGTCAGGAGATCGAGACCATCCTGGCTAACACGGTGAAACCCTGTCTCTACTTAAAACACAAAAACTTAGCCTGGTGTGGTGGCAGATGCCTGTAGTCCCAGCTACCTGGGAGGCTGAGGCAGGAGAATTGCTTGAACCTGGGAGGTGGAGGTTGCAGTGAGTAGAGATCGTGCCACTGCACTCCAGCCTGGGTTGACAGAGCAACATTCCGTCTCAAAAAAAAAAAAAAAAAAAAAACTTTAGAGGTCAAAGACAAAGATCAGTTAATTTGGTAATTAACAGAAGGCTAGTAATGTTTCTGTTAATGAATGCGTATTTCTGAATCTGCACTTACAGTATTTTGCCCAACATTTGATAATGCTAAAAAGACTTTTGAAAAATTTCATATATTCTAGACTTCTTATATTTCTGAAGCATGTGAAATATAATGAGTACATGTACTACATAAACAGATTAGACTTCAGTCCTTATCAAAAACTGCCAGAGACTTCTTTAGGAATAATGTGCAAATTATTTTCTATGTGAATGTACTTAAATCACAAATTTCTTTCATGACTTAAATTGTTTATCCAGTAATTTTACATGAGAGCACTGGCATCAAACTGATCAAAATAGTCTTCTAACTAGGAAGTCTTATAAACATAAAACTAAAAAAAAAAAAAAAAAATTCAAGGGTCTCTATTGATCTGTAGCTAAAATATAAATTATGATGAGCAACTCAACTTCTTAAGTGGCTGTTTTCAAATATGTTATTCCATAGAAATTCCCAGGACCAAGTACTAATTTGCTCTTTCAAATTTGAACCTATTTTCAGCAGTGTGGGATATACATTTTATCCCCTTTAAAAAATGTTTTTCCATAGCCAGAGTTAGATAAATTATTACATCATAATTAGAAGTCAGTTTACAAAAGGTTTAAGTCTTCCTTCCCCCTAAGATGAAGCAATGGTTATTCTGGTTTCTTCCCAGTACAAGTTTGCGAATACTGATTTAGAAATCTTAAAGTGTTATTAATAGTAGATAAAATTCAACAATATCATCCCCTTTAGGAAGGAAAAGGTTCAAGTTCTGAAATTACACATGCCTTAGGACCTCATTTTTCATTGAAAGCATGACTATATATGGCTAATGATTACATCAATATTTTTGTGGAGCTTGATAAATTCAATCTGCTCATCCCTTCCTTTCTCCTTTCTTGTAAGATGCAAGGCAGAAATACTTTAGAAAATCCAAGGTTGTAATCTGCTTTAGATCATTCTCATCATTCTTACTACTTATTATTCTAACATTCAACATGTATACCAGCTGTCTAACTGGATTGGGATAGATCTCTTAGAATAGTCAAGTGTTACTTAAATGTTTTACCTTTTTTATATATCAAATTTCACATATAAGAAATTGTTCTAAAACCCAACTGCTTATTATTTCCACTTAGTTTGTATGAAATGCAACTGGGAGAAAACATTTGGGAACAATAAAAACTATAGATTAAATCAGGGACATAGATAAATGCTGCAGACATCAGTAGTTTATTGTTTGTTTAGTCCAAACACATTCAATATGGAAACTCAAAGAATACTTTCCACCTGAAACAATTAAACTAGATTCTACTAGCATATAATGCTTAACACATTACAGCAATAAAGATGGTAATCCATTGTTTTCTATACCTACTAAAGCCAAGATGGTAAAGCCAATTTGGTTGCAATAGTGTCATAAGGATAGAATATTACCATCAAAAAATAAAACAAAATCAGCAAATAACAGTAATGGTAGATGAATATTTTTACTCTGTTTCACTGAAAAGAGGACAAAATGTTGAAAGTCCACAGTACTGCAGGTGAACAATCACCATGTAAACTTCTCCATATGATGTTTTAATGTTTTATTCATGGTACGTAAAGACTGAAGCTGAATGGCTCTTTGCTCTACTTTTCTATTATTACACTTAACATTTGTCATTACTTTTGGTGCCAGAACAGTTTTCATGGATGGCAGGGCAATATCCTGAATTGGAAATTATATATATGTACATATATATACATGTATATATATGTGTGTGTGTGTATATATATATATAAACAGAAATAGAAGAAAATATGCTTGGGGAAAAAAAAAAACAATGACAATAAAACAACTGCTTCTTTAAAAGTAGTATTAATAAAGGCTTCAAAACTCCAAAGTAATTTTCTGGTAAGAACTTCAAGTACTATACATCAGAAAGTATAAAACTGTTTCAAACAGGAAAAAAAAAAAAAAATCCTTAAACCCCCCAAAAATGGAAACTATGAAAATCTGTGTCCCCAAAATATATGCAATAGTGCAAGACTTTCCCTCAAACATGGAAGACCTCTTTCAAAGGGAGAAAAAGGGACAGATTTTACTCATATTGCCCAGTACATGAAAAACAAAATACAGGTATCATTTGCTAGTTTACTAAATAGCAAACAGTTGCCTAATTCAGAAACAATTTGCTACTATGTCAAGTGCATATCCTGTCTGTTTTACAAAGATAGAATGGAGAAGTCTTCCATGCTAACCAGCAGCTTCAAGTGGTCACACTTATTTACCCCACTCCTGCCTGAAACATCAGAAACTGGTATGTACTGATTGCTCCAAGCACAAAATTGGATAAGCTTTGCCATACTTGTGGTTTACTGGAACTTGCTATAAAGACAGACAATAATCCAGCAGCTACAAACTCTGCTCACAGAATTGTTTAAAGATTCATGTAAAAATAAAAGATGTCGTCCCAGACTTAAATTCAGGAGCCACTCGGGTGCTGACATCAGTTCAAGAATTGTGCAAAATGAATGACAGTTCCCTGCCCCCCAAATAGAAAATGCAAACACTTAAAGAGCTGCTGTTCTTTTCTCTGAAAATTGCAGTATCCTCACTTCAGGCTTACTTGCCATTTATGGAATCTGACTGCTTTTAAAATGTCACTAAAAATGTACGTCAAGTTGACTGACTTTTCCAAGCCCTGAAGTGATACGTTTCAAGGTCCACATTCGAGCTAAGAGAAAAGTCAACTAGAGACTTACTCAAATAACTGACTTCCTCCTTCCCTCTCCCCACAAACACACAAGACTCCCTCCCTCCCACAGATAACACAAAGTTGTTAACTGAAGAACAAGATAAATAATATGCTAGTCCATTTTACTGATTTTAAAGATACTGCAATTTTTATACATTTCGATGATTTTCCAACATTTTGCAGCTGTTTGGCTTTGCAGCACAGCAATTCATACACTATACTGTACAAAATTACCAGCAAGACTGGAATGATGTATTAATAGAAGGCACCATCATGCTTATTACATTACCAGAGAACAAAAATACAGTAAAGACAATTTTCACTGTACACAGCTTAAAGAAAGGAAAAAAGGGGAGGAGGAGTGTGTTGAGCAGCCAGCCATCCCTGTACTGAAGAGGGGCAGGTAGAAAAATCTTAGATATGGAGCTACTAAATCTGGTCTAATAGTCAAGACCATCGCATTTGAAGTTCTAATTTTTGTTATTTAGTTCATAACTAAAATGACTTCCTTCTGGAATATACTTGTAGTCTTGTTAAGGTTTATGTGTACACACGCTGGTCACAGCAAGCAGATAAAATGCCCTCATCATTTCACAAACTATTCTCTACCGGAAAAGAAGATGAAAGATTTTTTTCCCTGTTGCCTCCTGTTGCAGATGTCAATGTTAATGAGTTCAGAGTACCCATTAGTACATTTTGATGAGTGCATAACAAGTTTCTGTTGGTTTGTATTTTTGGGGGGAGCCAAGAAAAAAGGCAAGATTCTCCAATTGCACAAATTGCACTATTTGTGTTCCCAACATTAACAGGCAGAAACAGTAACACTTAAACAAAATGTGCAGCAGAAGATTTTTTTTTGACTCAAAGGACCTGAATTCAGTGGGCATGTCCTTTTAAGTTCACTTTGTCGTAGATAGTTTAAGATATGGTCATTTCTCAGTCCTTAATTCTCCAAGTCTAGATTTATAAATTAACAATGTGAATCCTGTTGTGAAATTGGGGAAATAATGTCCACCTCAATTTAACTGATAACCAAAAGATGCTTTTCACATCAAAGAAATGATCAAAAAGGCTGTGTCACATTCCAAAGCCAAAAAAAATTAACAAGAATGCAAACACGATGAATAATGTACCACTGCCAAGACTTTGCCAACAGTGGAGCTTCAGCGACGCTGTCCTGTGAAGCGGCCTTCCATTTGCCCGGTTCCTCTTCCAGAGCCAAGTTTCTGTGCCATGCCACCCCTTGGAGGAGGTCCTCTTCCATCACGATCACGCATCATTCCACCACCCACAATTCCACGTGGACCACCAGGACCTCGATCATTGCGCCTAATATCCCTGCGATCATCACCACCACCTCTGGTTTCTCGCTCTCTTGCAGCTCTTGTTTTTTTCTCTTCAACATTTAAACGTACTTCCCCTCGAAACATAATTGGCTTTATAAAAGAGGAGAAAAATATTTACATGGGCAGGTTAGACAGCAGTAGAAATGTATTACTCTGAACAGGTAAGTTAGATAAGCAGAAGGAACAAAACACTTTTATAAGCCCCCCCGCCCCCAGAGACAGGGTCTCAGCTGTCACCCAGGCTGGTGACAGCCAGTGGCACAAGCATGGCTCACTGCAGCCTTGACATCCCGGGCTCAAGTGATCCTCTCACCTCAGCCTCCTGAGTAGCTGGGATTATAGGTGTCCACCACCATGGCCGACTATTTTTCTTTTTTTGTAAAGACAATGTCTCACTGTTGCCCAGGCTCGTCTTGAACTCTCCTGAGCTCAAGCAATCCTCCTGCCTTAACCTCCCAAAGTGCTGGGATTACAAGTGTGAGTCACTATACCCAGCCAAAATTCTTAACATGCAATCTTTCCCACCTTCCTCAGCAAAGCAAGTAACAAAATTTAAAATGATCCACAAACTGCTAACAAATCTTTATTCTTTGCATAAATACCATTTAATAACTATCTTTAGCTTTATTATTAAAAGATTTTCTATGGTTTTTAAATACCCCAAATTAATATATACAACGAAATAATAAAGTCTTGAATTATGCCCTTTAAATCACTTACTTTTGCAATTAAGATTCTCTGAACTGGTTCAGAGTCATCAAAAACCACAAAACCAAAATTTGGAAGCTTTCCCCCAACACCCTTGGTATTGATGCGAAGTTCCACAACGTTTCCAAAACCTGTGAAAATATACATTACATCAAGGGTTAAATATTTTTAACAGAATACCTTGATGGCTCAAACTGTTCAGGATGAATAATCTTAATCTCCCTGATCCATTTTAAAATAAAACTTGCAAGCTTCTACACACAGTGATAGCCAACCTACATTTACTGAAGCAGGCAATCACCTAAGATACCAAGTAGCCTGCCTGCCTGTTGTGTTACCTTTCTGCATCTTTGTTAGTCCTTTCATAAGTAAACTGTATAACTCTGGAAAGACAATGTGTTTTCTCCTAATATATTGACCCGTTTGCCAAATGAATTCTTTATCTCTGAATTTATGACTGATTTATCCAGCTGTTTCTTCTAAACACTGTCGAGCCAGGCGAAATCAACACTAAGCAGTCACTGAGAAACATCTGGGATAGTCTACTCCCTTCTGCACAATTAAGGTGAGTCTGGTAGCTGGACACAGTATAAACAGAAACATTTTTTTAAAATAGTCATTTAAAAAGCTCCATATGCCTCTTAATTTAAAATAATTTAAAAACTTCTACAGCAAAATAAATCACTTACTCATGAAGAATTCTTTTAGTTCATTTTCATCAATATCATGTGGCAAGTTACCAACAAAAAGTTGATGACTATCTGGATAGCGAATTATTCTACGGTTGTCAGAGTCATTCTGTTCCATATCTCCTCTGCCTGAGAACAGAAATAGAGCAGATATTAAAGTTTACAATATAATAAAAACTACTTCAACAGAATGAATGTAAAAATCACTTAATATTGATATTCCTGTTTTAGTTTAATAAGAGTTGGTGAGCTTCTTGAAAAAGAGGCAAAACTACTTATTACTAGTAGGTTAGGAAACAGCATGACACTAAAATGTAAAGTGAGGACAATGACTAGGTTGCTAAAATAGCTTCTTCTAGATCTACTGGATTATACAAAAATCAAATACCAGTACAGGTATTCCTCCTTAACCAAACTGTTGCCATCACCCAGGAACCAAGCAGATTTCAGACAGTGAGGTACAGCTCTACTAAATATTTGCTTAGTCTTTTGAAATTCAAAATTCTTTGGCTGTATGACATTACAGCAAATCAGTAAATTTTAACAGCAATTATCACATTTATGTAGTCTATACATATTAGTGTATATGTATATATATACACATAAAATCTTATGATTCTCCCAATAACACGAGGAACACAGTGAGGAAAATAGGCAATACAAGAATAATTTGTGTAATATTTGACATAAAAGCAGCTCAGAATTTAAGGGTCTCACTCCAGATCCTAAGTTTAATCAGTGACAAATTTAGGACTTCCAGTTCAGTAACGTATCACTTTAAAAAAAAATTAACATTGTAAATGTGATATAAACTATCTCCATCTCTCCCATCTCCTCCCCAAAGCAATCTAAACATTCTTACAGAGTTCAAATAAAGGTATTACATGTATAGCTAACAATGTAAACAAGTCAAAAATCATGGCAACTTAATACCTAAGAATCAAAATGTGCTTATTGTTTATCTGTGAAGAGATAAGAGTGCTGAGAGAGTAGGTTATTGGCAACTTGGTTTTGAACTCTTAAAACCAGTGACTAGGCCAGGCGCAGTGGCTCACGCCTGTAATCCCAGCACTTTGGGAGGCCGAGGCGGGTGGATAACCTGAGGTCGGGAGTTCGAGACCAGCCTGACCAACAACATGGAGAAACCCCGTCTCTACTAAAAATACAAAATTAGCTGGGCCTGGTGGCACATGCCTATATTCCCAGCTACTAGGGAGGCTGAGAAAGGAGAATCGCTTGAACCTGGGAGGCAGACGTTGCAGTGAGCCGAGATGGTGCCATTGCACTCCAGCCTGGGCAACAAAGAGTGAAACTCCGTCTCAAAAAAAAAAAAAAAAGACTTGTTAACGTCTTTTACACCTTGAAAATATGTCACCATGGCATGTCAACCAATCCTCCCTAAAAATTGGTTATTCAGCCCCAGACACTATTTTAGTGGATTGCTCACATCACATCTTTAAGCAATTTGAGACTATATGGGTTTGTGTATTTAACACATCATAGTTTCTTGGTTTTTTTAAATTCAGTGTTTTCCAACCTTACAAATGTTAAATGCTAAAGGCTATAAAAGAGCTGACTCACCTGGTCTTGGTCCTCTAGGAGGAAAACCAGGTCGTTCTCTAGGTCGTTGTTCACGCACACGAGGTGGCTGAGACTGAACTTCTGGTTTAGCTTCAACTCTTGGCTAAAATATAAAGAAAAAAAAACATTATAAAAAACACTCCACAGGAGAAAAACCAACCAAAGCAACTAACAACAAGTCACTAGCAGACAAAACAGCAGTTTTAAGTTTAGAATGTTTTTAACATAGTGTCCTATGTATGAGAAAAATAAATTTTTATCAAGATATTCTGTACCAATCTAGGACTGTAGGTAGCTTTTGTTTTCCCACTTAATGCTGTGTAACTCACAATAAGCTGCTTTTTACAGTCACATTTTTTCAAAGTTGTATCAACACTGAAATAGCATAAAAGGTACTGCTACCAAAAAAAAAAAAAATCACAAAAATGCAAGATGAACCACTCCATGTAAATACATAAACAATATTAAAAGCTATCTTCATCTCAGACAAGAATACATAACACATAATTTCTAAAAATCTAGTTTGCTATCCTTTAAATATAACAGTGCTCAGTAGTACTGCCTAAATCTCTGCCCATAATCTTAAAATCAGTATTTTTATAGTTCAAAGTATAAAAATTAGCTTGCTCTAACACCTAAAACTGCTACCTTTAAGTTTAAAATGCATATTAAAAAAATGACAAACTTATAGAAACTTGTATGTAGCATCTCAAATAGTTAAAAGTCCTTTAGCTTCCTACTGTTCTTCCTTATGAGAAAAATATGCATTTGAAGTATTGGCCCCAATGATTTTCCTAAACTAGGGGGGGTTGGGAGTAATAGGACAATTTAAGGTGCCTCCCAAAAGCTTCTGCCAACTGCTGAATTAAACATATAATTATTTTTAAAACAAAATTACATCGGCATCTGCTATTACCTTTTCCTCAAGACAACAGCATTTTCAGTATTCCCAACCTCTTCAGACCTTCTACTACCCAAATATTTATGGTCCAAGGAGAGACAAATATATGAACCTACAAAGGATGCTGAAAACACCCAAGAGAGTATGGAGAACATGTTCTCAACTCAGAAAGCTAGTAATTTCAGTCCCATCTTTAAAGATGGTCATCTTCCTGTAATCCCAGCACAAGGCCAAGCCGGGCGGATCACCTGAGGTCAGGAGTTTGAGACCAGCCTGCCCAATATGGCGAAACCCAGTCTCTACTAAAAATACAAAAAATTAGCTGGGCGTGGTGGCAGGCACCTGTATTCCCAGCTACTTGGGAGGCTGAGGCAGGAGAATCGCTTGAACCCGGGAAGCAGAGGTTGCAGTTAGCCAAGATCACGCCACTGCACTCCAGCCTGGCCAACAAGAATGAAACTCCTTCTCAAAGAAAATAAATAAATAAATAAATAAATAAATAAATAAATAAATAAATAAATAAGTGGTCATCTCTGAGGATCTCAGTCTATGCAGTGACACAAACTCTTTAATCATTTATATAACAGATATTGCAATTTACAAGGACAAATTTTGACACAAAATGCTTCTTTCAAAAATGACAATTTAATGTAAATGATTTCAGCCACTGTAACCAAAAGGAATATTAACTCCTATGCTAACAGTTTAACCAGGTTTGCCTGCCTCTTCCTAAATTGTTTTCCTCTATGTCAATGTCCTATTTCCGTCAAGATGAAGTTGCTTACCATATTCTAGAATTCTACTAGTTACAAAATGAATATTTTTAACTATCTCCAGGTTTTACTGTTGTTATTTATATGTATTTACTCCTATAAGGTCTGTATCTTTTATTTTTTTAGAGAGACACAGTCTTACTCTATTGCCCAGGCTGGAGTGCAGAGGCACAATCATAGCTCACTGTAACCTCAAATTCCTGGGCTCAAGTGATCCTCCTGCCTCAGCCTCCCAAGTAGCTGAGATTACAGGCACACCAGTGCCCAAGGCCCATATCTTAACTTACTTTCACATCACCCAAAGAACCAAGCACAGTGCTATTAGACATAGATGTTCAGTAACTATTGGTTCATTTAAATTAAATTACATTTTTAGTTCTCTGACCCAAAACATGCAAGATAATGTTCTATGTCTGACAAGGATATGTAAGTGACAGCCCTGAGACCACTGCTATCTGTATTTGGGGTTTAATTCTATACAGTAATTTGATGCAAAATGTGATGCTGGAAAAGGCAGTTATTTAGAAACTTCAACTAAGGGGGTCTAAAAGCATACTTCAGTATGAATGTAAACAGAATTAGAAAATAAATGTACTGTGTCAAAGTTTAATAAAAAGAGTGTATTACTGGCAATTAATAAAAATAATAAATGTACCTTTATTACAAAATTTAAGAAAAACCTTAGACTCATCCAATCCAAATGTTATCAAAGAACTTGAGGCCCTGGTCTTGACTGATTTAAATTCTTTTCAGAACGGATTATCAAAACACGAGTAACTACAAGTAGCAAAATAAAGTTCTTCCTTATTCTTTAAGGACGAAAATTAAAAGCAGATAAAGTTAAATATTGATAATTTCCAACATCTTACAAATAATTCATGCCATTGATTTAGGAATCTGACTGTAATTAGATATTTGATGATGCCAATTTAAGAAAAATACAAGAACAAAAAGCTAACACTGTCTCCTTCAGTAACTGATTGACACATGTTAACTAAGCCAGCTGCATCCTTATAATTCTTCAGGTCTCCAGTTTCATGATTAAAACTAGTTGTTCTGAACAGATAAAATGGCCAATATGCCACACAGTAGAGGGCCTTAAAATTAATTCCATGCAACCAGAAAGTATGATCAAATGACAAACCCACAAATGAAGGTCAAACAGAATATCAAGTAAGTACAGAACCATCAAATCAAGTCAATAAAAGCAGGTATAACCACAAATAATAAGCCCTTCAATTAAACATAAGTTCTTTAGGTGAGCTAGTAAATTTCCAGACAAAATCTTTTATTCAAGAAATTAACTTACCTACTTCTAAGTTAATGCCTACCAATACCCTGGAATTAATTTCCTTTTATCAATAATCTATGTTCAAAGTACAAGGAAATGAATACTACACACAAGCAACAAACTAAAATTGAAGGAGTATTAAATCAAGTAGAAATATCATGAATCCATTTCAAATATAGCCTAAAGAGATTAGAAGTTCTTTTAAAGTTTAAATTCTAAACATTTAAAATTTTTGTTTTATTAAAGGGGTGGCATAGGAAATACAACTTCATTTCCTACACCTCGAAGACTAACTTCAAAAATACACACTTAAGGAAAATTACTTAAGATAAATATGAAGGTATTTTTCTGGGCAAGAGGCTAAGATTTAATCAGGCATGTCTTAAGAGTCCTCTTTGATGTAAATACAGATAAGATACACAACTCTCCACACCAAGGTGCTGGAGAACTGCATAAAGTCTACAGGAGGCTGGGCGCAGTGGCTCACGCCTGTAATCCCCGCCCTTTGGCAGGCCAACGCTGGTGGATCACTTGACGTCAGGAGTTTGAGACCAGCCTGGCCTACACAGCGAAATCCCGTCTCTACTAAAAATACAAAAATTAGCCAGGCGTGGTGGCGGGCACCTATAATCCCAGCTATTCAGGAGGCTGAAGCAGGAGAATCACTTGAGCTGGGCAGGTGGAGGTTGCAGTGAGCCGAGAGAGCGCCACTGCCACTGCCAGTGCACTCCAGCCTAGACGACAGAGCGAGACCCTGTCTCAAAAAAATAAACATTTACATGAGCCACATATGGACTCGTGTCCAACTGCATGACTTCAAAGCCCACCCATACTATGTACATAAATGTCTGTGAGTTACTCTAGACCTCAATTTTTCTGTCTCTAAAATAGAAATAATAGTACCCACAGGTGGTTGTGAGAATTCACTGAGAATGAATAAAAAGTGCTTCACACAATGCTTGGCACATATCAAAGGCATAAACAAGCTATTTTAACTTTTAACTGTTTAGATTCTCTGAAATAAAATAATCCAAAGGTTCCAAATCCAAATCTGACAGGAAATGAAGATTCCAAAAGAAGGGCCAAAAGTCATTTATTGGGTCTTCGGATGGGTTGAAAAGCACAAACAATACTGCACAAACTAATTTCCTCTGTTAAGATGGAACTCTGGGTGACCATCTTACATAAGGGTAACCATGTATTTCCTGAATATCCAAATGGAAAAAAAAAAAGTATCATGGGCGTATTCTACTTTTATGTAGCTGATTACCTGTCCCCACACCAGAACCACCAAAAATTACTTCTAAAACCTCAAAATTTCACTGTTTAGAATGTATAAAAGATATATTTATACACTAACATTTTAAACATAAATTTTCTAGTGGAATGAAGCTTAATGCAAAATGTAGGGAAAAAATTGGACACCCTTTATATGCTGATAAACTTAATTATAATTTAGTTCATTCTAAACTAAATCTAACAAACTTCTTAGGTAGGCAGTGTCTTATTTTCACATTTTTGAAAGCTCTGAAATGGGTAAGATGACAAACAGACAAAAAGCAGAATACTAGAATGATCAGTTAAGGTGAACACTACAGTCATAAGTTGGTACAGGCTTCAATTAAGTGGTGTGAACCACTTACACAGCGAGAGCTTAGGCAGCGTATGTTAAAAAGTTTCCTGGTTTTTTTTGTTTGTTTAAAAAAAAAAAAAACGATTCTTTATTACGCCACACTACTTTGTGCCTCTCCAAATTTCTTACCTAAAATATTTTTGCTAAATAGAATTTGAAGCTTTTGAAAAAGGAACATTCTTTTTGTTATTTTAAGAAGCCTTTTAAATGACAATATTATATATTGGTAAAAACCAACTTAATCTGTATTTCACACACCCAAACCCCAAATACCACCTATGTAGATGATGAATGGAGATCTGACATTTAAAGTGGGTGCACTGACATACAATACAAGTTTTTTGTATATTTAATCCATAATTTCTGATTGACTCATTTTTAAAAGTACTTAAAAAATAAGCATTTGGCAATGTAACAAGGATACAATCCAATGTGTTCACAGATTGGTTACCTGTGAGACTGGTGCTTTAACATGGGGTGGAATTCCAGAGGAAGAAACAGTACCACTAGGAGGCAGGTTTTTACTGGTCACTGAAGCCCAGGAGAAAGCCTGCAGGAAATGCAACAAACCTAGACTACTAATCATGGAAAACCACCAACATTCCTATAGGGAAACTTCCAAATATATATTTTCTTTTCATTTCTAAACTATTGCTCTATATTGGAAGACTCCTAAAAGAAAGGCACACAGACACATGCCAGTCTATGTGCCAGCTTTCAAAATCTCATTATGCAAGCTTATTTGTAACTGTTTTGTCTGACTACTAAATAAAACCACAAGCAAGTTCCTACGTACTCTAAGTAGATGAGCAAGTGGCAAACAAAACCACTAACAAACATGCTAGAAAAGCCCGAACCTAACAGAAACAATTTATTTCCCCTTTGGGGGTAAGATAGGGTGTGTGATGGTGTTAAGGGGAGAGGGAAGGATAGGAAAGAAGAGAGTATTAGCTGGAAACTCTGACATTCACAAATTGAACAAAGAATCTCCTCCTATCACTACCCAAATATACTTTAACCTTTGGCTTTGAAGAAAGATAAAAGAAGTTTCAGGTAGGCTTACATGATACACTAAGGATGTCACTCATCTTTCCAAGATAGTTTAATTGGTGTAGAAAGGAAACTGATCCCATTTAAACCACAAACAACAGGTATCTCTTCTTTTAATTACAGACCAACTTGTTTAAGTTGGGAAACTGCATGATTCCTGGTGCATCTGTGCTCAGAGAATTTAATACAGAATGAAAGAACAACTGACAGCTCTATACATGGATCCAAATAATTTCATTTAAGTTACTAAACAATGCATACACACAAGGATTCATCTTAAGTTATAAATTTCAGTCTTAGAGGGGTATTTTGCGGGGCAGGGAAACAATAACATTTTCTCAGATAACAAAAAAAACCCCCACAGCTTCTTTCATATACATAAAGTAATTTACTAAACAATTTAACATAATAGAGAAAGGTCATACTTCATTAACAGCACCAAATTTGAACATGTGATGTTGTAAGTCTAAAGAGTTCTTTGATCTAACCTTTGGTGGTTCTTGTGGCAGAGAAACAGGTTCTGCCGGAGGAGGAGTAGTAGATTTCTCCTCTAATTCTTCTAAGTTCTTCTCCTCCACTTGTGGTTTCAGCTCTTCAGTCTTTGTTTCCGATTCTGGCTCAGGTTCAGGTTCATGAGAGGATTCTTCCAAAGGCTCCTCTATGCCATTACTATAATAAAATATTTAGTTCACTTTTTAGTGGGAGTTCAAGACAAAATTCAATTTCTCTCTAATCCAATAGGTGTAACTAGTTATATGCCAATAATCTGTTCTAGATCTACAAAGTATTCAAAGCAAAATTCCAAAAAGAACTATAAAACAGAAGGAATACTACCCTCAAGTAGCAGTTCTTTAACCCCACCATTTTAAAACTGAATTACTAAGAATGTTTAATGCTAACTATAAACCTATCTTTTATAAAAATAAAATGCTTACTCTGTGTTGTCTTAAACACTTCACATTATCAGTAAGGAACCACTATTTTGGTGCAAGGCATGTTCAATTTTTGGATTAAATAAAACAATTCTTTCCAAATTTGCATATATACAATAGGTACTCAAATACTGACCTAATAGGTGACTTTACCGAGAATTTACTTCCAACAATAATTCTAGGAACAAAAACCACCTTGCTGACATAGTTCAGACCAAATTTAACCTTGCAAACACTATTCTTACGTCACAGGGTGAGCTTCATAGTAACCACTGTTAGCATTTTCTTGTACAGGTTCAGGAGATGGTTGTCTTTCTTCTTGCTCCTCCTCTACTTCATCTTCTGATTCTGACAATACATAAAACAGCACATCTTTTTTAAAGAGGCTTCACAATTTCTAATGAACATATTTTTAACATGTTTAAGGAAGTGGTATGATAGTAAAAAAGAAAATTTGACAATTCTCTTTCTTTCTTCCTTTTTTTGAGATGGAGTCTTGCTCTGTTGCCCAGGCTGGAGTGCAGTGGTGTGATCTTGGCTCACTGCAACCTCCGCCTTCCGGGTTCAAACGATTCTCTGGCCTTAGCCTCTTGAGTAGCTGGGGTTACAGGTATGCACCATCACGCCCAGCTAAATTTTTTTTTTTTTTTTTTTAAGTAGAGATGGGGTTTTCACTGTGTTGGCCAGGCTGGTCCCAAACTCCTGGTCTCAAGTGATCCACCCACCTTGGCCTTCCAAAACACTGGGATTCTGGGTGTGAGCCACCTTGCTCGGCCCCCAAAAAAATTTTTTTTTGTTTTTTTAACAAAGGCATTCAACTGCAATATCCTCTGTTCTCTCAAAAACTGGAGAGTAAGGATGAAGTTTAATATTTGTTGTACTCTATTAGAAAAAAATATATATATTTTCGTAAAAGGAAAAAAATTATATTAAAGCCACAATTTAGCTTCCTTCGTCACATCTATTTAATAGAGCAATAATGATAAAGAAACTAACCACTGTACATCAATGGAAGATCAATTAAATAATTATGGCACAGCCACAACGTAGACAGCCAACAAAGACATACTACATTAAAAAAAAAGGAAGCTTTAAGTCAGTGTAATTCTACATTTATAAAAATACATGCTGCTAAGAATAGAATCCAAAAACCTTCTCCAATAGGTACCAAACTTGGTTATCTACAGAGGATGAGACTGAGGGAAACCTTTTTTCTTGACATCCAAATTTTGTATAATCTCAAACAATGGACATCTTTTTATAACAACGACAACAACAACAAAACCACAAAAAAAGATGTTTGACTCAGTTACAATAAAGAAGCAAATTTCCATAAATGTCATACTTATAGAAAATAGTCCATAAAGAGTACCAACAGAACCCTTCTATCTTCGTATCTTCAAAGTAACCTCACCTTCATCAAGTTCAGGCTCAGAATCACCAAACACTTCATCTTCATAACGAAACATATCATTGTGAACATAAAATTTATTTGGAACAGATCCCTATAGGAAACAACATTTATTCCATAAATACCCAGAAATCTGGTATTATAAAAGAGCAAATTACATGGCATACACAATTTCTCATTTTAATACTAGAAATCTGGACTCAATATAATTTTCCAATGCTGAACATGCTATGATGTTTATATAAAATAAAAAGGTCACTCAAAAAAATACAACAGTAAAACTCGCCATTACTTTTGCACCAACCTAGAACTCAAGAAACAGCTATTTAATAGAAAAGAAATCAACAGAACTTTTCTATTTTGTTTTCAAATGTAACCTTTCAAATATACCAATATAGTTTTTGTATTAATGTAATCTTAATCATCCATTTACAAGCTTATATCAGTATTTGACTTATAATTCCAAATAGTCAAAGCATATGTATACACACACACACTCACTCACTCAAACAACAGGTCAAACACAAATTCTTCAAAAATAGCAGTATGCAAATCTAAATTTATTAGAAACCCTTGGACACTTCAAACCAACTAGCAACAGCCAAATTCAACCATATAAATGAAAACTGAATGAAATGAGAAACTTACTTCAGGAGCCAGAACAAAGGTTTGCATAAACTTCCTTTCTGGTTGTCCACTGTTAGACAGCAAACCCATGACCTGGACAACTACTCCATCACTCAAGGTTGCATGAGCATCCACATGACGAATTTTAGTATGACATTCACTGAAGTTCAGAGATAACACTTTGTGGTGTATATCCTTTATTAGGGAGGGAGGGAAAAATATAAACTCTTGTAATACTGCATTACCTACACAATACTATTACCTGCCCTCATTGATTTCCTTACAACTCCACAGTATTAACTACTTAATCTTCCTGACTGAACTGAATCCACTGACCATGCTATGCATCACCGCCAGACTGATGCTCCTAAAGAAGAAATCACAATAGCTCTCTGATATTGTGCAGTAATCTGGGCTTTATACAGCTGTCTCCCACTTTTCTGTAATAAGTATTTAGTCATTCTCATATGTTGTCTGCTCCTTGAACTTACACATAATTTTACTGTGTGTTTGCTGATGCTATTTTTTGTCTACTTGTAATTCCTTATTTGGTAAGGCCAAATCTTATAGTCTCACATCCTCTACACAAAGTCTTCCTTCCCTGTTAGGTCATAGGAAACATATGTTTCTGCGCATTCCTATAGCATAGGGTTTAGTTCAGATTTGTATAAACTTAATACACTGTCTTAACTATCTGCTATATAAAATACATCAATGAGATAAAACATACTGTTCTCTCCTTTGTAGCCATCGCAGTATAACACCACGTTTCACACAAAAATGAAGTTTAAGAACTCAAAAGCATGTCTCACAATTATTGTCAAACTGAACAACTACTGACAATTTATGTTGACAATTACTGTCAAACATAAATTTCAGTTACCAATAACAATCATATTGAGAAAAAAAAAATCCATGGACATAAGAAGGCTATTTTTTAAAATCTCTGTCTTAACACAACATTTCTAAACTATATATGAAATTGATACTTACATTTTGGCCATAAACAGCTTCCTGGGGCTTTCCACTAGCATCTACTCCACCATGAACATAGGAAGAATTCCTGCCATAAAACCTGCAAAACCATAATTAATGATTAACACTGAATTGTCAAGAGAAGCCTAAGAGGCAGTAGAATTCTGGTGTCATAGACTAGGTTCCGGATCCGGCTCTGTCACTAGTTGTGTAATCTTGGACAGGTAAACTACTTAAGGTCTTTAAGTTCAGTTTCCTTGGTTATAAAACAGGAACAGGAACTACTACACAGGGTCATTGTAAGGATTAAATGAGTAATGCACATAGAATGCTCTTAGTTTATCTGGCACAGTACGTAGACAATCATTAGATATTCATATCTAATTCTTATCACATATATTTTTTAAGTGGAAAAATCGGATATTTTTGACTATTTAGTACATTCTAAATACAGATGCTATAGTAACTGACCCTGTTTTTCTCTTCAGATACAAAGATTCAGCTATCTAGATTTGTTTGGGAATCACAGTTTAATACTATATTCAGATCTCCAAATGATTACTAATTCTAAAGGCTTAAACTGTTTAGATTTAAAATAACTGAAACAATTCAGAGATAAAGTCTAAAATCCAAAATTACTTCAGCATCTAATTTTTTAATATTTTTGTACTGTTCCTAAGTATGTGTAAATTAGTCTTTTATTGGCATTATCCAAAGCAATTAGAATTAGAATCTTTCTAAATTAAGCTCAAAGACGTGAAGTTAATTTTTTCACAAAGAAAACGCAACTCCTATAGTAATAAAACATGTAAGAGCTTCCTTTATGCTAAGCAATGTTTTTAGTGTATTATGTGTACTGATTGACTTAATTTTCTTAACAATCTCATGAAGTACTATTATCTAAATAAACAAGCTGCGGTTCAGAAGAGGTTAAATTAACTCCCCTAAGGTAATATACCTATCAAGTGGGGCACCCAAGATAAGAACCTAGTCTAACTTGAGAGTCATGCTTTTAGCCACTACTCTTACTATTAAATTTACACTATTTTCTCTCATGTACTACTGGCATCTTTCCTATAGAACAGTTTGGCTGTGTGTGTATCTGTGTGTATACACATGAAAAGTCTCAGAATGATCATATCTCTTTGATGCATTAATTCTTCCAGGAAAGTATCTAAGAAAATAACTAACTAGCAACGTGCACAAATAATGCATGTTTCAGGATATGTATTAGTGTTGCTTATCACAAGTAGAAAATTATAACAACTTGAATTTTCATTAAGAAAGAATGGTCGGCCGGGCGCGGTGGCTCAAGCCTGTAATCCCAGCACTTTGGGAGGCCGAGACGGGCGGATCACGAGGTCAGGAGATCAAGACCATCCGGGCTAACACGGTGAAACCCCTCTACTAAAAGTATAAAAAAATTAGCCGGGCGTGGTGGCGGGTCCCTGTAGTTCCAGCTACTCGGGAGGCTGAGGCAGGAGAATGGCGTAAACCCGGGAGGCGGAGCTTGCAGTGAGCTGAGATCCGGCCACTGTACTCCAGCCTCCAGCCTGGGTGACAGAGCAAGACTCCGTCTCAAAAAAAAAAAAAAAAAAGAAAGAAATTGGTCAAATAAGCTAGGTCTAAAACAAGTCTGTTACTGTTTAAACATGATGGTGTAGGGCCTTATTGTTTTAATTTTTTTTTTTTTTTGGTCACTAAAGAAAACAAAAAACCCTGTATCATGAAAAGACCAAATTTCAGATATCAAAGGGCCCTATTAATTCTATATCTTCCCCCAAACTCCCTCACATACACTGTCATCAAAAACATCTTTATTTTTACAATTAGAGAAAGACATACAGTTATTCATTTTACATTTATTTGTGGGGAAGATACATGTTAGTTACACTTTATATACACTACATTATAATAAAGTGGTTGGGGACACTACTCAGAACTGGGCCTGAATATTGGCTATGGTTAGCTTGTTTACTTATTGAGTGATCCTAGATGAATTACTAACCTCAACTGTCTAATAGATAAAGAGCTAATAAAAGTAACTTCACTTTAAGACTGTCATAAGGAGGCTGGGCGCGGTGGCTCATGCCTGTAATCCCAGCACGTTGGGAGGCTGAGACGGGCGGATCACGAGGTCAGGAGATCGAGACCATCCCAGTTAACACAGTGAAACCCCGTCTCTACTAAAAGTATAAAAAAATTAGCCGGGCGTGGTGGCGGGTCCCTGTAGTTCCAGCTACTCGGGAGGCTGAGGCAGGAGAATGGCGTGAACCCAGGAGGTGGAGCTTGCAGTGAGCTGAGATCAAGCCACTGCACTCCAGCCTGGATGACAGAGCGAGACTCCGTCTCAAAAAAAAAAAAAAGACTGTCATAAGGAATGCATGAGATAATATACATATGTAAGGTAATTAGAGTCTAGCAAACAGTAAATATAAAAATGCCTTCCTGAATAAAACAGATTACATGTATGTTCAAAAGAGCAAGACAAATTGCTACTGAAATGCTCATTAAGATGACCTACAGATAAAGGAATTTAAGTCTTTTAAACAGCCTTTCTCACGGGAAGTGGTAATATATTTATCCTTAACCCATTTGGCCAGTGTGTTCTGCAATACTTACAAAGTATAACTCTTGTAAGAGTTTCACCTATCTTCTACTTGCTAAGATACATCAAGAACAAAAATTAAATACTACCCACAATATAAATCAATTTCACTTTGATCTCTGGAAAAAACAAGCCTACAGATGTCTACCTCTTGTTAAAACAGTAAATAAGGTTATTGCTGCTGTTTTACAAAGGAATACTATTTTACAGATTAGAAGAAATACAAATTTTCACAGTATAATCATTTAACTGATCCATTCCCCAACACTGTTTGGGATAACTTTTAAAAAAAAGATTTAAGCTGCTGATTTCAAATTGCATATTGGAACCCATTAGTTGGTCAAACGGTCAAACCCAAGATATGGTTTTTTTTTTTTTTTTGAGATGAAGCCTCACTCTGTCACCCAGGCTGGAGTGCAGTGGCACAATCTCCGCTCTCTGCAGCCTCCACCTCCCAGGTTCAAGCAATTCTCCCGACTCAGCCTCCTGAGTAGCTAGAACTACAGGCGCCTGCCACCACACCCAGCTAACTTTCGTATTTTCAGTAGAGACGGGGCTTCACCATGTTGGCCAGGCTGGTCTCAAACTCCTGACCTCAAGTGATCCACCTGCCTTGGCCTCCCAAAGTGTTGGGATTGCATGTGTGAGGCGCTGCGTCCAGTCTCGTGTAAACTTTATATAGTTCTCCACCACCCACCCCCAAAGGCTTTTTTTGTTTTTTTGGTTTTTTTAATGAAATAAAGGTTGGGCTTGGTGGCTCATGCCTGTAATCCCAGTGCTTTGGGAAGGCAAGCTGCAAGCTGGGAGGATCGCTTGAGGCCAAGAGTTTGACGCCACAGAGGGCTATAATCACATACTGCACTCCAGCCTGAGTGACAGAGCAAGACCATGACTCTAAAAGTAAAATACTAGAGTACATGTAAGTGTGTGCATATATATATATGAATGTGTTATGTACTAGAATATGACATAAAGTGTTTTTGTTACTGTGAGTTGCAGTCAAAAACACTTTCTGCCATCAAATGAATAAAATATTGAATACAGTTTAGACATGTTTACAAACATACTGTCAGATAATGAGACAGGAAATGCAAAATATATGTAGTGATATCCAAGAAAAAAAATAGATAACAATACCAAATTATTTGTTTAAAATTTACCTGTGTAAATATTCTGGAGCTTTATTCAGCAAAGTATAATACTGCCTCACAAACTCCCGCCCTACAAGCAGCGGACTGGGCTTCTCCATAACCATTTCTTTGCTGCACAATGTCAAATGCTAAGGGAGCAAACACAAGAATAACTATTAAAAAGTCATCTTTGTCATCAACCACCATGAAATAAATTTTCTTTTTAGCCAAATTTAGCAGTGGGGAGTTGTATACCAATTAGTGACACTAATGTTAATAAGTTCTGATAACTCACTACCATCAGACTAACCTGAAATAAATTTTCTTAGCCATACAAATGGGACCAAAATTAATGCCACTATTAAAAAAGTAACTTACAACAAACAGCAAAACAATACATTCCTAACTACTATCCATAAGGTAACCTCCAACATTTGTGTCTCCCTTTGTCTCTCTTTCTTGATTTCCCTACCCTTCAGGACAGGAAAATAGCATCTTTGTTATTTCTTATTCCCAAGGGGTCCAATGCTGCCTCAGACTAAGTATAAGTCCTTCTATTCACAGTGCCTTTTTCCTTTGGGGACCAAAATCTACTACATTCCTGGATTGCAGTGGTTTTATCCTAGGAAGAAAGACAGAGGGCACAAGTTAAGACTCAGAGATAACACTCATGGCAAAGCGCCATGACTTGTGTTTTTGTATTCTCTTTCCTTCTGGGAATTAATTTCACCATTTTCAAAATAGTAACAATGATTAATCACCAGCTATAACTTCAGTACTTAGAGATAATCATTTTTTACCTTGATATTATGTCTCTCTAATCTTTCTTTCCACTAATTAAGCATCTAACTACATGAGATGCTGTTTATAATAAATGAAATATCTGGTGAACAAGGTAAGATTCTAACCCTCGAGGAGTTTATAGTCTGTCAAGAAATATAAACAAGCAAAAACTGGTGCTATGATAATGTGCCTCAAAGTTAAAACCTACAAGAACAACTAGCACGAAATAAATACAATTTCTTTTTTGTCTTGTGACACAGGGTCTCGCTCTGTCACCTAGGCTGGAGTGTAGTGGTACAATCATGGCTCACTACAGCCTCAACTGCCAGGCTCAGGCTCAGGCTCAGGCTCAGGCTCAGGCTCAAGCGATCCTCCCACCTCAATCTCCTGAGTAGCTGGGACTATAAGCACGCACCACCATACCTGGCTAATTTTTTTAAATTTTTTAACTTTTATTTTTAGCAGAGACGAGGTCTTGCTATAATGCCCTGACTGGTCTCGAACTCCTGGCCTCAAGTGATCCTCCCACTTCAGCCTCCCGAAGTGCTGGGATTACAGGTGTGAGCCACAAACAAAACTTCTCATCATTTGCTGTAAGAATATAGTCCCCAGATCCTCCCACTTCAGCCTCCTGAAGTGCTGGGATTACAGGTGTGAGCCACAAACAAAACTTCTCAGCAATTACTGTAAGAATATAGTCCCCAGAACAGTCAAAATTATAACATTAGAAATTGGAGATTAGGAGGAGAGAAAAATGTGAAATATAACCTCTTTTATTTTATTTTGAGATGGAGTCTTGTTCTGTTGCCCAGGCTGGAGTCCAGTGGTATAATCTTGGCTCACTGCAACCTCTGCCTCCTGGGTTCAAACAATTCTCTTGCCTCAGCCTCCCAAGTAGCTGAGACCACAGGCACATGCCACCACACCTGGCTAATTTTTGTATTATTAGTAGAGATAGGGTTTCACCATGTTAGCCAGACTAGTCTTGAACTCCTGACCTCGTGATCCACCCGCCTCAGCCTCCCAACGTGCTGGGATTACAGGCGTGAGCCACTGTGCCCAGCCACCTGTTTTACTTTCAAAAGACCTATTACACTTAAAAGTACTAAAACAAACAAAAACAAAAAACAAAAAAAATCATAATAGCTAAGTGTGTATCTATTGGGTAAATCAGGATGCAGTTTAAATTCCTGCTTAGCCAGGTACAGTGGCTCCCGCCTGTAATCCCAGCATTTTAGGAGGCCAAGGTGGGCGGATTGTCTGAGGTCAGAAGTTTGAGACCAGTCTCGCCAAAATGGTAAAACCCTGTCTCTATTAAAATACTAAAATTAGCCAGGCGTGGTAGTCAGCGCCTGTAGTCCCAGCTACTTGGGAAGCTAAGGCAGGAGAATCGCTTGATCCCAGGAGGCAGAAGTTGTAGTGGGCCAAGATCGTGCCTCTGCACTCCAGCCTGGGCAACACAGTGAGGCTCCATCTCAATAAATAAACAGATTGATTAATTCCTGCTTAAACTTCAGGTTGAGCCAGGAGGATCATTTGAGGTCAGGAGTTCGGGACCAGCATGACCAAGATAGTGAAACCCCGTCTCTACTAAAAATAAAAAAAATTAGCTGAACATGGTGGCACACACCTGTAATCTCAGCTACTCAGGAGGCTGAGGCACAAGAATCACTTTAACCTGGGGGACAAAGGTTGCAATGAGCTGAGATCACACTACTGCACTCCAGCCTGGGCAACAGAGCGAGACTATCTCAAAACAAACAAACAAACAAAGACAAGAAAACACTGCAGGCTGGCACAGTGGCTCACACCTGTAATCCCAGCACTTTGGGAGGCGGAGGTGGGAGGAAAGCTCCAGGCCAGGAATTTAAGACCAGCCTGGCCAACAGAGAGATCCCATCTCTATACAAAACAATTAAAAATAAAAAACAAATTTCCATGTGTGTTTACTTTAAATAACTAAAACAATTTCAGAGACAGTCCTGCATCACAGTCATTAAAATTGTGATACTATTTTTAATAAAAATCAAATACCAACTATAGTAGAGCTTACAAATAAAAAGTGTAGCTTTACCTAATTCTAGTGACTCACAATTCAACTTTTACATTATGTTTTTAGGTTCCTTGTTTCTTCCTTTCCAACTAACTTTCCCCCTCTGTCTTTCTGAAACTCTCAAACTTGATTTACAAAAATCCCCAAATCTGTTTAAAATTTTCCATAATGCTTCACCTGCTTTCAAAAATAGTTAATTCACAAAGAGCGGATCCAAAAACTGCCATTTCAGGTGCCACTGATATTCCAGAAAACTGAAAACTCCCAATAAGGGTAACAACCCTAATGCAAAAAGGACTCATATGCTACATTTAAAGTAACAAAGCACTGGGCTGTGGCTCATGCCTGTAATCCTAGCACTTTGGGAGGTCGAAGTGGGCAGACTGCTTGAGCTTAGGAGACCAGCCTGGTCAACAAGGCAAACCCCCATCTAAAATTAGCCAGGTACGGTGGTGCACACTTGTGGTCCCAGCTACTTGGGAGGATTGCTTGAGCCCAGGAGGTCTAGGGTGCAGTGAGCTTTGATCAGGATACTGCACTGCAGCCTGGCTGGCAGAACGAGACCTATCTCAAACACACACACACACACGCACACACACGCACACACACACACACACAGCTAAGCAACTTAACATTTTTATTTTGAATAATGAGGGTGGGTAAAGAACAGTAGACTTACCAAGTAAAATTTAACAAGGTAACTAAAATATGGAAATTATATGTATTTTAACACCATAAAAATTGATGGTAAAATAATACTAACACATGGGAAAATACTACATTACTCTCTGGACAAAATAACTATACACAAAATAGTTTTCTTTAAATTGACAGTGACAGAAATACTATTAGGAATTTCCAGGTTTGGGGATTATTGTTTTCTTCTCTCTAGATTTCCGGATTTTCTACAGGAACACTGTTGTCATTTATCCCAAATTTCCCACCATATTCATAGAGTACATACTATCTATCATTTTTGTCACTTACATATTTGTTTCTCAAACCAAAATAAAATGGTACAGAATACAAATACCAGTATCACAGGTCAAAATGCTCTAAAGACTTGGTGTAACAAGGTTCAAAAAAAGCTTCAATTTGCCCACTACCTACATGGTCAATGAAGTATAATGGCCAAGATATCATCAATTTAGAACAGAGAGACAGGAAAGGGCAGTAGAATATTTGATTTATCGATACTCAATAAATTAATACTTATTAGAAATATTGGAAGGCAGTAACTTGAAAAGTTAACTTCAAATGGCATATAAGTAAGGCAATGGTAATCTGGTAAAATCTAAACAAACAGGCATATATAACAGGTTATATAGAAAGCCGAGCTTTTAAGGTGCAGAGGAGGCTCTCACAGGAATGGTAAAACAAAATCAAGACTTACTGAGAGAACAGCGTTTCAACTAATTACATCAGTTACTTCTTTAACCATTAACTCCGATTTGAAGCGACTCAGAATTTAGAGAGCCAAAATATAATTGATAGAAATCAAGCAGAAAATGATTACTAGAGATCAACCATCAAATGTTTGGGTAGTTGCAGGAAATAAGACTATGAAAATTGAGTAAGTAATATAAAGTTCACGTTTATAATTCATGCACCGTCAGTGTATGTAAGAAGGTTGAGAAAAAGGAAAAAAGTCAAATTACACATTCAGAATAAAAGTGATTACAAGAAGAAAGAATTGTGCCATTTTTATTCTTCATAGCAAAGCACCTTACAGGTAATCCATTTCTAGATCTGGGACCTTCCATTTCTTAAAAAAAGTTAACAAAATGAAACAAAATTCTGAACATGGGAGTGAGTAAAAGGTTTCGACTATCTTATCTATCTATGGCCATGAAAAAGTCATGACCTTACTGGATCTCGATTTCCTAATTTACAAATTGAGAAGCAATCCCTCGCCAAGCCTACAAGACTACACAGTTCTATAAAGATAGCCAAGGAGGCCTGGTGCAGTGGTTCACACCTGTAACCCCAATATTTTGGGAGGTCAATGTGGGTGAATCGCTTGAGCTCAGGTGTTTGAGACCAGCCCAGGCAACATGGCAAAACCCCGTCTCTACTAAAAAATACAAAAAATTAGCCAGGCGTGGTAGTGCACAAGTGTAGCTCCAGCTACTCAGGAAGCTGAGGTGGGAGGAATGCCTAAGCCCAGGAAGTCGAGGCTGCAGCGAGCCAAGATGGCACCACCGCACTCAAACCTGGGTAACAGGGGTAAGACCTTGCAAAAAAAAAAAAAAAAAAAAAAAGGCAAGATTAAAGGATACTTATACACAAAAAGAAATCCTCAGAAAGTTTGTT